CGCGAGTTAGGATTTAAGGATAGTCGGCTTCCCGCACCATAGATCACACCCTCGCTCTACAGGCATCAATCTGTAGTATAGGGTGAAGTTTGAGTAGGCTGTCAGAAGCTTTACTTAGCGAATGCCTGAGTCAGGAATTCGAAGTGGCCGCAGGTATCTACGGCAGGCCTCGGATGTCCGAAGCTTTGTTTATTCCAACATCCAATATTAAGGGTCCGATTCCGATTGATTCGTCCAGCTCGCATACTGTTAGCCCACACCACTGGATTAGGACTGCGGAGCGCGTATTTTCCCCTCTATGTCATGGCATGAGTCGAATCTATGTTAGTGGCCGCAGGTTTTATCAGGTTTCTTAAGAATTGCGAGTACAGGCGGGTCCTTAACAGCTGCTCGGATTGTTTGTTTGAGGTTGTTGCGTCTAGCACTTTAACTGGATAGGCTAACTAACGGTTAACGGATGCTATGCCACAGTACCAGGCTGGTCAGGCTTTTCGACATTTTATAAGCGTTTGGTCTGCTAGATCTCAGCCCGCCGCTCCTAGTAGTATTGTTGATGGTGTTCCGCGACTGCTTATTCGTAAGATATAAGCGTATACTTATTTCGCAGGCAACTTAATGTCGTTCCACTATCCGCCGCCTATGCAAGCGCTGGATAGCCAGCAGCTAGAGTAACAGGTAATCCGCCTTCCCGCTTACTGCACTGCACTGCTTACATACCTGCAGGCAGTGGAAAACTACCTGGAACTATTTTAATCATATTATCGTTCAGTGCTGTCTTCAAGTTAATGCCAAAACCTATGCCTAATGAGGTTGTACTGATGAAATCAGCCACTATTTTCCAATCTAGATAAACTCTGAAGAAGTTTTATGAAATTTCATTGTCCTGTTCTGTTATGAATCATGAGCGAGACTGTGAAGCACCTCATTTGGTTGATGCAGTTAGTAGTGAACAGTCAAAAAGACAGCAGTATGCGTAACTTGATGGCGAGAAGAAGAGCTTGCATAACAGGTGTTTGTCCAAAAGCTTAGCCGGTCCTGCCAGAGCTTTGTTTCGATGACCATTTGAAGGAATGAAATGATACCTGTATTTCCACAATGTGGAATGTGTAAGTATAACGGGGAGAGTGTTAAGATACCTGTTGACAAAGGAATTACGTAGAGCATTTGGTAGCAACATTCCTCTATCCATATGATTCAATTCGTTTCACACATTTACTGTAGAGACCTATCATATTCCTCGAAACGACTTTTGTCACCTCAACTTCTACTTCTTCTCCCTTTGTTGACGGTCCTGCGTGCGGACGTTGACCTGATAACGGCAGCACAATACAGTTCTTCATCCAGCGGAGGCCAAATCCCCCAATAATGATAGACAGAGGCTTCCGCAGCCGCCAGAGTGCCGACTGTGTTAACAACTCCAACAACAGTACGAGGAGGCTTAGTTCTGCCAGAGAGAGCTCAATATGGCGTACAATGACGGCTGTCACCAAACGCACCGCACTACAGGCCATCGCAGTGCGAGTTTTCCTGGTCACAATCACGCTTACAATGATTAGCTTCGCGACCCGGACAACAGGCAAGAAGCGGGACCTGTATCTCTTTGCATTTCTCCTACCTCCGCTTGCTGAACTGGGCGTTACCCTTTGGAAAATTGTGGTGCAGAATTCTGACCAGGCGGGGTGAGGGCATTAATATGTTTTTGCTATGGCTCCACTTTAATCATCACTACAGAACAGCAGGATTGCCTACTACAGGACCTGTGGTGTTAAGGGTTGTACAGTAGACGCCGTTGATCATGCAATATTTCGATATATGCGAAAGACTAATACTCTTTCGCTAATCGGAATTGAGGGTCATTTCAGTCAGGATAGGAAGCCGGCTTTTTAACGAGCTTCGTTTCGACTCCCCATGATAGGATGCGGGCTTTTTAATGAGCTTCGTTCTGACCACTAGCAAAACCCAGGATAGGATGCCGGCTTTTTAACGAGCTTCGTTTCGACTCCTAGCAAAACGCCCAGTTGTGATACTGATTATCGTGTAGTCTATTCTGAAGTCATTTCAGTCAGGATTTGTGATACTGATTATCGTGTAGTCTATTCTGAAGTCATTTCAGTCAGTATAGAATGCCGGCTTTTTAACGAGCTTCGTTTCGACCACTAGCAAAACGTATCAATTGTAAAAACTGACTACTTAATTAGTATGCCTTTTTATAATTGATTTTGAC